TCCAAGTGTTGTGTTGTATGTGTGTGCAAGAGGGGTGCCCTGTTTTTTAATAAGTTTGTCTTGCACTTTCTATAAGTAGTGCAGTGGCTAAGTACTCTAGCTATAGTCAGAGAGATCTGGGTTGGAAGCCGCCTCACCCACTTTCTACCCATGTCCAATTCAGAGGATGAATGTGGTACCAAATAATACCATGGATAGAAGGTGCTTTCCTGTGTTCTCGCACAAGATAAGCAAAGGACCAATTGGACTAAATGCCCAGAAGGGCAAGGAGTGAGTCTTATTTATCTTCGGTCTAAGGTCAAGCACAGCATCTAACAATTAATGAGAAAATCAGTAATATTTTCTCAATTTTCTCTTTCCATATAAACGCAGAATTGTTGCACGCTCTTCACACTGGATAGACCTTTTATATAATTATAATGGGAAGACTGTGGTGACAATTGAATTTACCTTGTGCAATGGTAATTTAAATATAAACTCACTGAATAAGTATCTTAAAGTTGGAAGGAAGTTTAAGAGTAATTTGGTCTGCAACTAGAAGGCTGTGCAACTATGACATACAACTATCTACTGGGGCTTTGGGGGAAAAAAATAAATAAATAAAAATTAAAAAAAAAAAAAAGAGTAATTTGGTCTGCCTCCTTCATTGTATGGAAGGGACAAGTGAAACACAGAAAAATAATATGACTGCTCAAATATCGCACTGGACATGCATCTCCAAACCCTCTGCACACTACACCACAAGGATTTTGAAATTCTATGCCTGTTGGAACCAGTATAAATCCATGTCCTGCTACAGATAAACTGGAGACCTGAGCCTCAAATTTGGAAAAACAGAGGGACAGGGTGGCTGGGGTAGTATGACAGCTGGCAAGCTGCTGGGCGCTAAATGAAATTGAGCACCATGGAGAAGAGGAAACAAGCCATAGCCGGGGTGCATCATATGCAAAACACGCCTGCTGCAAACTCCATGTTCTCTAACCATAACCATGAATATGATGCAGGTTTGTACCAGCACTTGTAAACATTTCTCTCTTGGCCAAACACACTCTTATCTTGGTCTTGGATCAGCTTTTTAACCCATCAACTTTTAATCTATCATAACAACTGATAGAAAAACTAGACAGAAAATCAGCAAAGATGCAGAAGAACTCAACAATACCATCAAACAGCAGTATCCAATCCATCCAACAGCAGAACACAGTCTTTTCAAGTGCCCATGGAGCATTCACCAAAATAGACCAAATCCTGGGACATATATCAAACATTAACAAATTTAAAAGAACTGAACTCATACAAAGTATGTTCTCGAATCACAATGGAATCAAACTAGAAATCAGTAACAGATAACAGGAAAACTTCCAAACACACAGAAACTAAAAACACATTTCCAAATAATCCACGAGTTAGGAAAAATCTCAAGGGAAATAAAAAAATCCATTGAACCGAATGAAAATGAAAATACAACATATCAAAATCTGTGAGATGCAGCTAAAGCAGTGCAGAGAGGGCAATTTAGAACACTAAATGCTTCTTAATTAGAAAAGAAAAACGGTCTCAAGTAAAGAATCCAAGTGCTACCTCAAAGAAGAGCAAAATAAACCCAAAGCAAGCAGAAGAAAGCAAATAGTAAAAATAAAGGCAAAATTTAATGAAATTGAAAACAGAAAAACAATGAAACAAAAAGTTAGGTCTTTGAAAAGGTCAATGAAACAAACCTCCAGCAAGATGACAAAGAAAGATGACACAAAGTACCAATATCAGAAACGAAGCAGAGGATATTATTATAGGCCCTACAGATATTAAAATGATTATAATATTATGATAGTCCTATCATGAACAATTCTATACACATAAGTTTAACATTTCAAAAGAAATGGACCAATTCCTTGAAAAGCAAAACTATCACAATTTACCGAACACGAAATTGATAATTTGAAAACACTTACGACTATTAAGGAAATGAATTTGTAAAGAAGAAATTCCCAGAAAATAAATCTCCTGACCCAGAGAGTATCATTGGAGAATTCTATAAAATATTTAAAGAAGAGTTAGAACAAACTCTTAGAAAATCTCTTCCAGAAAATAAAGATAAGGGAGCCTTCCCAACTCATTTTATGAAGATAGTATTACCTGACACCCAAACCAAAGATTGTTGGAAAAAAAATAAAAGGAAAAAGAAAACTAAAGACCGATGTCCCTCACGAATAGAAATACAAACATCCTTAAAAAAATATTAGCAAGAAGAATTCAGTAATATATAAACAGAGTTTTTTAATTTTTTTTTTGTGAGGAAGATCAGCCCTGAGCTAACATCTGCCAATCCTCCTTTTTGCTGAAGAAGACTGGCCCTGGGCTAACATCCGTGCCCATCTTCCTCTACTTTATATGGGATGCCGCCACAGCATGGCTTGACAAGTGGTGCATCAGTGCGTGCCCAGGATTCGAACCGGCGAACCCTGGGCTGTGGTAGCAAAGCGCGCGCATGTAATTGCTTGCGCCACTGGGCCAGCCCCTAAACAGAGTTTTTTAAAAAATAGTATCATTAAACATGATAAATAAGTGAGGTTTATTCTAGGGATGCAAGGCTGGTTCAATATTTGAAAATCAATCAATCTAATCTACCATATTAACCAACCAAAAAAAAAATCACATGATCATATTAATTGATCCAGAAAAAGCTTTTGGCAAAATTCAACACCCTTTCAAGACAAAAAAAACTTCTCTCAGAAAACTAGGAATAGAGAGAACTTTTTCAACTTAATAAAGAATATATACAAAATACCTCTAGTTAACATCTCACTTAATGGTGAAAGACTGTATGCTTTTCCTCTAAGAGCTGGAACAAGGTAAGCTGTCCACACACACTACTGTTATTCAGTGTAGTATTGGAAGTCCTAGCCAGCACAATAAGGCAAGAAAAGGAAATAAAAGGCATACAGATTGGAAAGCAAGAAATAAAACTGTCATTTGTGAATGACATGAAGGTGTACACAGAAAATTCCAAGGAACCTATCAAAACACAAACAATTAAAACTTCCTAAAACTACTAGTAAGTGAGTTCCACAAGTCCAAAGACACAACATCAACTTACAAAAATCAATTGTATTTCTGTATACTAGCAATGAAAACAGGTAAAATGGAATTTTAAAATACCGTACCATTTACAGTCACTCCAAAAACATTAAGTACTTAGGTGCAGATCTAACAAAATATATTCAGAACCTGTACACTAAACACTGTAAAACACTGGATGTAAGAAATTAAAGAAGATCTAAATAAATGAAAAGACATATCACATTCATGGATTGCAATATTCAACATAGTAAACATGTCAGTTCTCCCCAAATTGTATAAAGATTTAACATAAGATTTTTTGTAGAGACAGACAAGATAATTCTAAAATTCATATAGAAAATAAATGGATTATAAAAGTTAAAATAATTTCAAAAAAGAGGAATAAGAGGTTGAATTAATCTACCCAATTTCAAGGCTTATTATATAGCTATAGTAATCAAGACTGATTTTTGACAAATGTCCAAATGCAATTCGACAGAGGAAGGAAGGATAATCTTTTCAACAAATGGTGATAGAGCAACTGGATATCCATAAACTAAGAAAAAAAGGAAAAAGAAAAAGGCACTTAGCTCTAAATCTCACACCTTGATTTTATATAAAAAATTAACTCAAAAAAGATAATGAATTAAATGTAAAACATAAAATCATAAAACTTTTAGAAGAAAACAAAGGAGAAAATCATCAGGAACCAGGGTTTCATGAAGAGTTCTTAGATATTACTCCAAAAGCATGTTCCATAAAAGATTAAAAATCAATAAATTAGAGTCCATCAATATTAAAAACTTTTACTCCGTGAAAGATCTTGTTAAAGGAATGAAAAGACAAGCTACACACTGAGAGAAAAAAATTTGCAAACTATCTCTGGCAAAGTAATCATATCTAGAATATATGAAGAACTCAATATGCAACAGGAACAAATATAAGAAAATAATCCAATTTTTAAAGGGGCAACTAACATGAAGAGACATTTCAATGAAGAGGACATACTTCTGGGAAATAAGCACATAAAAAGAGTTCAATATCACTAACTGTTAGGGAAATGCTAATTAAGACCACAATGAGATATCAACCTATTAGATATACACCTATTAGAGCAGCTAAAATAAAAAAACAGTAAAACCGCCAATTGCTGGTGAAGACACAGAGAAACCGCATCTCTCATACATTGCTGGTGGGGGTAGAAAATGGTACCGCCACTTTGGAAAAGAGTTTGACAGTTTCTCAAAAAATCTAAACATTCATCATCTGACCTGGAATCATATTCCTGGGCATCTATCCCAGAGAATAAAATCTTATGTCCAATGAAAAACTTGTACACAAATGCACACAGTCATTTTATTTGTAACAAACAAAAACCAGAAACAACCGAAATGTTCCTCAATAGGTGAATGGATGAACAACTTGTGGTACATTCGTACCATGGAAGATGTCTCAGCAATAAGAAAGAACAAACTATTGATACCCACAACAACTTGAATAAATCCCAAAATCATTTTGCTGAGTGAAGAGAAGCCAGTCTCAAAAAGTCACACACTGAATGACTGCATGTATGTAACATTCTCAAAATGACAAAAATACAGAAGTGGAGAACAGATTAGTGGCTGGCAGGGGTTAGGAATTTTGGAGGAGGGTATGACTATAAAGGAGTAGCAAAAGGAGGATCCGTATGGTGATGAAACAGTTCTGTATCACGATTGCAGCGGTTGCTACACAAATCTACACAGGATAAGATGACATGGAACCATGCACACACATTGTACCAATGTCAACTTCCTGGTTTTGATATCATACTACAGTCATGAATTGTGTGATGATGCACTATCTTTGCAATGTCCTGTGAATTTATAATTATTTAAAAGTGAAAACAAAAAATAGATCATCACAGTATATTTTCTATTGGAATACCAAACATCAATACTCACTTCCAATGTCCGGCCTCAGCTTTTTATCATATTCTCTTAGCAACTTGTTGAGAATAAGAGTCACATCGGTGTCTTGGGATTTTGGAGCCAAGACCCACTTTTGGTTTGATGATGAATCTTCATATTCATCCTCTTCCACCTTTCTGGATCTGTAATTATGGCACATAGCGTGACACGTAAGTTGCAGGATTGGCTCCAGGGCACCAGGGAAACATGGAGAAAGTCCCCCAGACCCTCAGCCCAACCAATGGATCACCTCCAAAATTAAAAAATAAAATGAAACACAAATTAGGAAGAATTCAACAGGAAAGATGCTACTGCTATTAACATGACATAATGTTTTCATTAAATGTCACAAAATGATTCCATGTCCAAGTTAAACTACAGAACACTGTGATAAGTAAATCAATGCCAGAAGATTAACCAGCAGGCAATCAGCCTTCCTTGGATCCACCTTCAGAACCTCTGAAAGTCAAGGCACAAACCTTCCAGATCTTCGCAAGATGGTGACTTCATCAAGCCATTTCCACCCCCCACTGCCAAGACCTCAATTACTTGAAGGTGAGAAGAGCCTTTGCAGAATGTGTTCAATGAGAATAGTTGAGTCTGACTTCTATGCTTCTCATGGAGACCGGAACCTTTGGTCTAGGCAGACATGGGGACATTATGAGGTGGTCTGCCTGGACAGCACTCATGTGGGTGACGAGGAACAGAGATGTTGGCTGGCGAACAACCTCTGGCAATCTTACACGCCTCCTACTACACAAACTGATTCATCTCTTACAGAGTAGGCTAACACACACATTAAAAATTAAGATCTTTCTAATACATCTTCATCATTTGGTCCCTTAATAAATGGGTCCAAATGAATGCTTGAGCATCTCTGAGCTTGTCTCGTGCAGGGCTGAGCATGACAGCCGCCTCTCCTGGGTGATACACACTGACAGACGTACTTGAATGGAGAGGCCTCGAAATGACAAGTTAGTTTTCTGAGTGAGTGAGGCCGTTCGGGCTTGAAAAGAAGAGAGTCCTCGTTTGCCTTAAAGCAGCATTTCCAGGTGGACGGCCATTCACCACGGCAAGAAAGCTCATAAAACAAACTTCCCCCTTTATAATGTCAGTGTGCCTGCCTTAATGACTTTTTCCTCACATATGGAGCACAAGATAGAATAGAAAACTGCATTGGGGTTTATTTGTTCTGAGTGTGAGCTCATTTCTGTTTGGTTTCCCAGACAGGAGCCAAAATGTTAACACCATCTCAGGACAGTTGTGCTCTGGACATAAGTTTCTTTAAGTTAATTTCTGGAATTTTCTAAATTACCTATAATGAACATGACATAAATGAAAAGAATAAACTTTTTAAAGTTTATTATCTCTATTTTGTTTAAATCTTCAGAATCATATATATTCTATATAATAATATAATATATCATTACAATAATAATTATATAATTATAACATATAATTATATGTTATCTGTATAATCATATGTCTATGTCATATATTCTATAAATGAGTCTTTTTATGAGTGTCAACTAGCCTTAACATCGACTAGAGCAGTGTCAGATAGTCTAGTTCTGGATGAATATACACATGTTTATGAGATTCTGATAACATAAAAATGATAGTATATAGCATATATTTCACAGACTGACTTCACTTAAGTTTTTCCTAGGCTGATCTTACACTGTAATTCTATTTCTTGAATACCTATTGGCCAGAAGGCTAAAATAAATCATCCATAGAAACTATAAATTGCCATGGTTTTTTATTTGCCATCAATAGGAACTTATAAAATTGGGGACAGATATTCAAGAAGTGATATGCTGCATTTCATCATCTGTCAAACTGAACTTTTACAAATTAACATTACAGAATTTAAAATGTCACTGTAGAATATTTTATTTTATCAGGAATATTAATTTTATAATCTTGCAAAAAAAAAAAGTAGGTTGAAGCAGGTTCTGTAGGACATGGATAGCTGGAGCCAACAGCTGGCATTCATTCCAGAGCGAAAGCATTTGGGGGACTGGGGACACAGGGTCAGCCTGCCTCGGCGGAATCACATTCAACATTCACGGGACACGTTCCAATCCAGCCACCATGCTTTTCTCTCTCCCTTTGCTGTCTCTCTGTCTCTTTCCCTCTCTCCTCTCTCCTCTGGCCCCTCCCTCCCCTTCCCTTCTGCCTTACTCTCTCCCTTTTTCCCCTCCCCCACACCCAAAGACAGCTCACCAGCACAGACCAGACCATGCTCTGTTATTTCCTATTGCCCCAGCGGTCATATGGACACAGACTGAGCACACTGACTAACTCTTCATCAGTTCTCTGTATACACAGCCTTAGCTTCTGAAAAATACTCTAGCTACTTCAATAACAGGTATTACAATGAGCCTAATTCTCCCTCTAGTGGTGATGAGAGGGTTTTCCTGAAATTTCCTAAGCTTCTTCCTTAGAGGCCAGGGCAGATGAGAGTCGGGGACAGGAGAAAGGAAAAGAAGCAGTGTTCTCTCCCACCCCTTCAGCAGGCAACACGGGACCTGCAGCTCCGTGGCTTGGTTGGGGTGGACAGTGGGCAGAGATGCTCCTGGCCCCTCAGCGGCCAACACTGAGCTCCTCCCAATCCTGATTCCCTGTCAGTTTGCTGCAGGACTTCAGAGAAGGAAACAGAAGCCTCACAGTGCTGGAGCCAGACCACTAGCCCTACAGGAAAATCCTCCCTTTGATGAAAACCAAATGTCATCTCAGGGAACCCACCAGAGTGTGCGCCAAACAAAAGTGTTCTGCTTTTCTAAAGTCTAAGTGGGTTATATATATTCTTTATGAGCATTCTGTTATCAGGGTTGTTGGATCCTAAACACCATCACTGCAATTAGCTGTTTCTTAAAAACAAATCGGTGATGTAGTGTCATTGTCAAACAACTGCTCAACCCTCAGATGTTATTTTCACGTCTTACACCTTCTCTTCAAGCAGGACAGAGACAAAGTCTGAAGTATTTTTAAACATTAAAAGGAGCTCCTAAACCTCAGAAAGCGGTTAAGCATCTTCCAAATATTACCAAGGTCCAGGTGTGACTTAGCGTGTTTAATGTATAACAAGCTCATCCACGGGTGTCAGAATGGGGCGCTTTTCCCTCCAGGGAGTTGCCAAGCCATCACCATAGACCACAACTTTCAGAACCCTTTCCAGGGCCCTTCAACACCAGGAAGACATTCTGAAGTGCAAATGAGAACCCTCTGAGAATTAACAGTTTTGAAAGATGACGCTGGACATTAGATTATTTTACATGTCTGTAAAAATCCATTCAAAGAACAAAGACACTTTCAAAGGAGAGGCATGTAGCAATAAAATTAGTTCAAAATTTGGATTTTTTTCAACTGCTATGCAACCTCTATTATGAAGGCCAGGGAACCAACCCAGACAGAACATATTAAAATCATTACATCTGCCTTGGCAAAATGGAAAGATGAAGAATCCCAAGAGATTGGGTGTGTATTTGGGAATCTCTAGAAACCTGACTGTTTCAAGTTAGATACTAAGATACTTTCCTACTAAGTACATAAAGTAATGAGGATAACAGGCAGTTTTCCTCCTACCATGTTAAGTATCTATAGATCTAAAGAAGTGATTATCTAAACCTGAACCGCAGGTCACTTCATCCAGTCGGTGGCAACAGAAAGGTCATGTAGACGTGACTTCAGATCTAGATATGACTTCAGACCTCCATGTTACGCCTGGTGCTGTCTGCCGCTAAACAGAGACACATCCAGGTAGAATCAGCCTCAGAAAGTGCACTTGCATTGCCGTTCCCAGCTCTCTCCTTAGACAGGAAGAAACTGAAGTTGAAAAGCCCCAGGATGGCTCTGCCTCATTGAGAGAGCCGCCTGTGAGTCACCGTCGAGCCTGCCATCCCTGGCACACCCCACCTGCCGTTCACACTCTCAACTCTTAGTGAAGATGAGTGGCGTGGAGGGGAGGGCCAGAGATTTCTTCCTCAGAGCGAAACACCCCCGTCAAAAGTGGGGAGTAAGGACTGGGATTTGTTAATGTGTCTTCCTAGCTCCTCCGTACTTCACAAATATGAGTGAAAACTCAAGACCTCCTGGCACTTCTTGCTGACACCTGCAGGGCTGACGGCCCACAGGGACGCTCTCTTGCTCTCTAGCTCCCAGATCCAGGAAATGAAGAAGTGTCAAAACAAGAGTGTTTAGGGGATAGGGATGCCCTGAGATTCTTGGGGTGATGATGGGGGGAGAGCAAGGGAGCTGCTCTAATTTCTAAAGCACAGGACAATCTGCAGGCTCTGGGCCAGAGATGTACTCTGGGAGACAATTAAAGAAACCAAACCCAGAATCTCCAGTTATATTTACAGCAACAGGGTTTAACCTTCCGGTCTCACTGCCCTTCCATTCTCATGAGCCCTCTTCACCTCTTCCTGGAACCTTTCTCAGCTCCTATTATTAGCTGGTTGGTGTTCTAGGAGGAAGGTTAAGGGTATTTACGGTGAGATAATTTCTTACAGTTACTAGGCAGAAGCCTTATTAATTTCAACATGCTTGCTTCAAGGGGGCAGGTGTGTGTATATTCTTGTGTGTGAAAAGTGGCTCATCTAGAAGGGGTGCATGTGTGCATGTACGTGCGTGTGTTTGCAGGACCTGGGAAGGGAAATCCTGTCTGAGAAGCAGAGCCCCAGCTGCCCATTTGCCCCAATCCTCCTCCACCTGCCTCCAGCCCGGGTTCACCAGACTGGACTAAACTGGACAGCTAGGAAACCGTGACTCCTGGGTCCTGGGAAATTTCAGAGTGCTGGAAATGATACAGAATTGTCGGTCAATGTGTGTGTGAGCCCCTGGAACACTTTGGGGGGAGGGGTAAGGGGTAGCTAAGGAGGTAGACACCAACGCTCCCCTAGGATATTGGTTTTCAAAACCCCTTAAAACCACCAGACCATTAAAGATTCAGGAGAAGAGCCCATTCACCTCACAGTCCCCACATTCCCAGCTGCAGAGAAGGCTGCAGCCGCCCAGCCTGGAGACGCAGATGGCCGTGTCCAAGGGGAGGTGGGACAGGTGAGGTACAGGCCGACTTCCCGGCTCCTGCTCGCCGGCCTGGCGGGCTGTGCGGCAGCCCAGCCGACGGCGGGGCGCGCCAGGGACTCCGGGCCAGGGGACAGCGCCCCCCCGCCGCCCTCCCGCCTGGCTCAGAGCCTCCGGGGATGCGGAGCCCCGGCGCCACTTACCGCGCGTGCAAGCCCGAGAACAGGCAGAGGAGGAGGAGCAGCTTCGGGGCCATGGTGCGGTGGAGCTCGGGGCTCGGGGTTCGAGGCCTCCGGCCGGGCGCGGCTTCCTCCTGAGCGCGGGCCTCGCCTCCGCCGGCTCTCTTCGCCCTCGCTGCCTCCGATGCCCCCGACTGCGGCGCGACAGAGGCGCCGGGCCGCCGCGGCCGGACAG